AAGAAGAAGAAGAAGAAGAAGAAGAAGAAGAAGAAACCCAACGAAAAAATAAGAGGCCTGTTTTTCAACAAGCCTGACTTCCTTTTGGACACTAGAAAGAATGTTACACTATAAAAACCTTTTTTAAAAATACAGTTACATTTTGCTACTTGTCTAAACCAGTGCAAAGAATATATACATTTTGAATTGATGGATACTGCATTGAAATAATAAATGTTTAACTACTTGGTTTTTTTATTATTCCTTTATTGCTGTTTTTTGTTTGTTATTTAAATTGATTTATATTTATATGCTGTTTTCCATGATGGCTGTCTTTATTTATTTAGGAGTATTTATACCTTGCCTACCAATTGAAGTGGCCTAACATATATCCAAAACACAAGAAAGCAGACATTAGCAGAATATTTACTAGAATAGGGTAAAGGTGTATATAATTCTGCCCTCCAGTTCTCTGATGTTCCAGTAAGTGCTCTTCTGCATAAACACTCTACGTACTGTTGATGTATATGTTTTGCATACTGTTTTCTATTATTATTATTATTATTATTATTATTATTAGCAACTTTGAGTACTTTAAAAATAGGCAGGGTGTTAATATGTTTGCCATCTAAGATGCACTGAGCGTAAACTCAAAGGAAATCAATGGACTTTCAACCATCAACCCTGGGTGACATAGTTGGGTATAACCCATAAGAAATGAACAACAAACATTAATCTAATCTCATATCCAACTAAGCATCCTCTATGTACGTCATAGAGATATCTTGGTATCTGAGGAGTGTTCCATAACAGCAAAATGTCAGTTATTATGGGCAGGGGCCCAAGAAAGAGACTCTGCGTTTAGCAAGGGACAATGGGTCTCTATGCACTCAAAAAGACACACTCCCTCTCAGGGGAGCTCAGGCTGACCAGTGCTATGGAAGCCAAATACAATGGTGGGCTCAAATACAGTACAATGGTACCTTGGTTCTTGAACGGCTTAGTTGTTGAACAAATTGGCTCCTGAATGCCGTAAACCCGGAAGCTCTTGCAGCCAATCGGCCTTGGTTTTCGAACAGTTTCAGGACTCCCGGAACAGATTAAGTTCAAGAACCAAGGTACCACTGTAGTTTTATTTTTTTCAATAGGAAAAGGATTCGCTCAGGAAAACTGAGCAAGTGAGTTCTCCAATGTACATCCACAACCACTCGCGTCCCAATTTCTTGGGATAACTGTTTCTGCACTTCCTCCTTAATGGTGGTGCTGGGGAGAACTTGGCTCACTGCCTTATTATAAAGGTGTATTATATCCTGTCAAACATTACTTATTTAAGGTGCTTTACAGCATCTTTCTGCCAAGACAGTTTAAAATTTAATACCAACACAAGCAAATTACAAACTTTTTTTTTATGTCACTGATGGCCTCTTCAGGAGAAGATGGTTTCCTGACCATGGCATCTTCTATTCTCTTTGGTTTGTTAATATTTCAGGAAGTATTCATAAATAAGGCCTATGATGATTGACAGCCATGGTGCTACTGTGCTATATTCAACCCCAAGTTGTGAAAACGAGAAAGAAGTATGTCTCTTCTTAGATGCCAGCTTAGTATATATTTCTTTGCCTGGAATAGAATGTGAAGAATTCTGGACCTTCTCACTGTATTTTTTATCCACATAAACTAAAACAACCAAAAATGATTATTTAAAAATATTAGAATTAAGTGAACTGTGCATATTTAAACCACATATACCCACCCAGTAACAAAAAGTGTTTTGTTCAGATGTGGTCTGGCCTGAGGGCAATTTTAACAAGAGTTTTCCTAAAACTGGTACAATATTTAGGTCTTTAAAGTGGAAAAAATAGCCTTTTTACTCAGCCTTGGCACTTGCATATGACTCCTGCTATAATGATAAATCAGGACCCTGATTTTCCAGCAGCTTCTGAGGTTAATTTGCACACGCTTAATGTCCATCTTCATCTTCTCCCAGGCCTTCGACTAATTAAACAATCTATGGCCTTTTAAACTGTCTGGGTGGTAGTGTTTGGGTTGTTACTGTATGTATTTTTGTGTTTTCATATTGTCAACTGCCCTGTAATCCTCAAATGAAAGGCAGTAGAGAAATGTTGTTGTTTTTGTTGTTATTGTTAATGCTACATTTTGGATTCAGATACTGAAGCAAGTTTAAAATATCTACATGCTAAAAAGAAGCTTGAAACCATCATTGGCTTGCAATTGTCCTTTGTCCTTCCTGAATGTGTGAAGAGATTTTTTTCCAGCAACCGATAGCTGAGGGGGGAAGTTAAAGGGCACTTTCAGATCATACAAGACAAGCCAGCATTTGCTATCTTGAAGCAGCACTGAGCTAATATGGGTAACTTACATGCCCTTGCCCTTTGGGCAACTCAACTCTTTAGTCACCCTAAATTTTTCCAGTCTTCTAGGGACAAGGAGTTACTGAATGGCTCAAGGGACAAATGCTTTCAGATAACAAAGTTAACACAATACTGCTCATAATGAAGTTTTGGCCTAACCATTGTGGACCCTGGTTGTGCAGCCTCAGACAGCAAATTTTGCACATGGAAAGGGGAAAGATCAAATTTATTTTGAAGCAGCTGTACCTGCACCTAAATTACAGCATGCGATTACTACATTTTATTTGAAATAATTATGCCTTAATGTAGGCTTCCACTTGCCTGTGTCTACTCTTTTGCATTATACTTACAGTACAGTCGTACATTGGTTCTTGAACGGAATCCGTTCCGGAAGTCCATTCAACTTCCGAAAACGTTTGAAAGCCAAGCATGGCTTCCAATTGGCTGCAGGAGCTTCCTGCACTCAATTGGAAGCTGCAGAAGCCGCTTCGGACGTTCGGGTTCCAAAGAAGGTACGACTGTGTCTTAAAGCAATCACTCAGTATTTCCTTATTGAACATATATATGTGCATACACACTAAGGCTCATCTTTTTAAACAATGATGAAATCGTCAATACCAGATGAGCTTATGATTCAGAAAATAGGTAACAGGCACAAACAAACTTGAAATAGTTACACCTGTGTTTCAGTTATTCAGCTTTCCCACTCAGTGGTAAATAAACACAAAAAACACACAACGGTACTTATAGACCACTTAACTTAACAAAAGAACTTGTCAGGAAATAGTCCCAGGCTGATTTTCTGTATCATGAAGGCAGAGATGTTCATGCACTGCTCCTGCATGGGATACAGGGACAGGATGCATACACGATCAGCTTCCTGTGTTTTCACAACACTAGATTTGAAATAGAGCCTTTGCTTTTCTTCCACCTAGGAGCTCTGTTGAGACTACAGTGGTCCCTCGGGTTACATACGCTTCAGGTTACAGACCTTGCTTCAGGATGAGAACAGAAGTTTTGCTCGGCGGTGTGGCAGCAGCAGGAGGCCCCATTAGCTAAAGTGATGCTTCAGGTTAAGAACAGTTTCAGGTTAAGAACGGACCTCTGGAACGAATTAAGTACTTAACCCAAGGTACCACTGTATGTTATGTCCCAAAGACAGGGGAAAGCAGATATTGAACACAACATTGTTGGGGGAGGGACGGGACAGGAAGCACAGGGCACTTGCCTATCCATCTGCCACCACAGCAAGATGGTGCCCCAAGTATCCATTTCAGCCTTGTGAATAAGCTTACAAAAATAATTAGGCTGCAGAGAAATAAACAATTACTAGCATGCTAAGAGGGAAGTAGCTTGTGTTTCTATGCTGGATATGGAGGAGGACAAGGGTGTAGGGGGGCTGTAGCCCTGGGCATATGATATTTAGAGGGCTCCCATGCAGGGATTCCTGTCCTGCCCTGCCTGCCGCTGGGGGTTTCTGGGCCCTGGAGCCCGGCTGGACCTCGCCACTGCATCCCTAGCCCCCTCGCTGAATGGCCCCCTGGCCAGCATTGAGCAGTTTCAGCTGCCAAGGCTGCATCAGCCAGCCTCCTCCCTGCACAGGCGGTGCAACGCAGTCCCCCTTGGCTCTGGTAGTGAAAGCCAGGCTGGCCTGGCGCACAGGCTTTGTGAACTCTCCGCACCCCGGGGGTGTTGGCAGCAAGGGCTGGGCTGGTGCAATGGGTTCTGTTCCCCCTCTATGCCCCGCCTCTGTGTGTGAACACGCCCCGGTTGTCAGCAAATGCTGCAACACCACTGGAGGAGGAGAAGGATGCTACTATTCTCTTAGAAGGCAAGGTAAGATAAATGACCTTCCGCCTGGGACAATCCATCCCTGCTTTGTCAGCCTATTCACTTGCTGGCATTGAATCCCTAGTTGCTTAAGGCGTTTACAACATTGCCCATATGATATACAAGGTTGCCCCATGATACTGAAGGCAAAGAAAGCAATAAAGTGGTACCTCGGGTTACATACGCTTCAGGTTACATATGCTTCAGGTTACAGACTCCGCTAACCCAGAAATAGTACCTCGGTTTAAGAACTTTGCTTCAGGATGAGAACAGAAATCATGCTCTGGCGGCGCAGCAGCAGCAGGAGGCCCCATTACCTAAAGTTGTGCTTCAGGTTAAGAACAGTTTCAGCTTAAGAATGGACCTCTGTAACGAATTAAGTACTTAACCCGAGGTACCACTGTACAGAATGAGACAAGGGCTGTGCCACAGCTGTAAGTGGAAACTGAGAAAACTGTGGTTTTTTGGGCACAGGAACAAGGTTCTGAATAACCCCTTCCATCCCCAGGCTCATACTTCAAAGCATTAAAGGCAAGAGGTGACATTGTATATTTTTATGAGTGTATTATCAGCCTGTAAGTCAGGCTACAACTGCGTAACATTTTGAATCCATTTCAAAACACTGATTGATAACTCACCAAGCTCCAAAGAAACTGATTGCTAAAACACATGGCTCGTCACCAAACCGCAGTTAACAACCTCAGATTTATTTAAAGACCAATGATTTCGGAATGATCAGCGTCTGAGAAATAGCCACACTGATTAAATGGCTGGACGCAGATGAAGAGTACGCACAGGCCCGCTCCAAGGCTTACTTACCCATGCTCATCTTGATTGGCAAATTTTCCCTGCTTGCAGCTTCCACTAGGTGTCTCCTGACTTCCATCACAGCTTCTTTCTGCTTGGAATTCATCAAGGACTCCCACAGAGACTTAGCAGCTGGATCACTATATATAAAAAAGGAAAAAAAACACCCAGGTTTACACCAAACATCTGCTAAGAATCAAGCAAACGGACTGGAGCTTAGTGATTTCTACAACGTGGATAGCCTATCTACTTTCAAGTACGGAAACAAAGCTCAACTTTTTCAGAAAGGGTTGCTCTCTCTTCAGACTAAGAATACATGGGCTGATTTGGTAACTTGTTATATTAACCGGAGGTTATCCATTTAATTGGTTCTGTTACCACAAAATTTTTAAGAGAATAGTTCGGCAGTGGCTTGCGCAAACAACCAAAGCTACTGAGAATATTAATGACGACAAAAACAGCAACAGTTTCAGTATAGCAGACTTTCTTCTGAAATGTACTATACTTTTGAAATGAAAAGCTGTTCGCGGGGTTCAGAAGTCATGGTTGGGCTTGCGAAGCCGTTGATACAAGCAGAATATTAAGCAAACGTTCATATGGCCATTGATGGAAAGTGGATCTGGCTGAGCTGGGAGGTGTTGCATTAAATCTCACTCATTCATAAAGCTCACTGAAGTACAACAAGCGAGGGAGGGACACTGAGAGGAAAAGCAGTGGTTTCAGAAAAGGTTTCAGTACAGCAATAAAGGAGTTGGGAAAGGGTCCTATGCCAAGGCCACTGCTGCTGCTGTGAAACATGTCTTCTCTTTTGCTCTCCTGCCTACCCCTGACTTCGTGCAAATCCAGGACTGTGTTGAGGCACTACAAATCCTGCAATGGGGGCTGCATGAGGACATACATTTTTTTGTTATATATGAAGGCATAACTTTATGCAGGGTCAGTCTTGAATGGCGTACAAAAGTGCTCTATATCTCAAATATGTCAATATTAATTGTGATCACATGGAACTATAACTTTTAAAACAAAAAAGAAAGAAAAATCAATACCCATGAGAAAGCTCCTTGGCAGAGACAAACGTTTATTGTCAAGTCATGCTAATATAGATTTTAAAAGTCCTGGAGGGCAATGATTTCCTTCCCCGGCTTTTGTTTCTTTACAAGCCAATTTCTTCCCAAAGTTGTAGGTTTGCTTTGCAAGGCTACTGGGAATTGTTTAAAAATATGTTGAGAATAGCAGACTCTGTTTAAAAGCAAAGTAGAAAATATGACAAACCGGCACATTTGAAGACTTGCAATATCAAAAGTGGATGTTTTGTAGACTTATTACTGCTTGCAAAAGATGGGGGAAAGGAGATAGACACTGTTTCTACACACTTATTTCTATATACAGATTCAGCTGTCTAGCCAAGTGATAGGATAGCACCAGGAGTAGTATCTAAACAAATGGCTTTGGACAAAAATAAAATTTGTAGCTAAAGAGAGTAGTTAATCGAGACTCCCGCCCTGCCACCACAATGCTTTCTAGTGATGGACTTAGCTTTCAGATTTGGACCTGGCAATTCTAGGTCCACGGGTTGTCTACTAATATACCCTGTTAAGTAGGCAACCTCTGAAGCCAACAGCAGCCGCACATTCCATGCAGGATACTGCTGCTAGTCTCCTAATACAACCGAGCTAGAGTCCACACTACCATTCATCAGATTTCGCAACATGATCAAAGTGATGAGGTTCTACACAAATACTGCTTGCTTCCCTGCGTTCTTCAAATCTCAGATCTAGAGTCTGTTCTGAAGGCAGACATGGAAAATGTGAACAAATAAATATGTGCCTGAGCTTATTCAGAGTGCATACATGGTAACTTGACCAAGAAAAACTGGCATTCACACAACTGGGACCAGGGCTTTTATGAGTTTTGGAGACAATTCAAAGAGAAAGCACGCATGACCTTATATTCGTTCATTTGATGTTTTAATGTAAACCGTTTTGAAATCCCTCCACCCTTTAAAATATAAAGTATCACAGAAATGAAATAAATAATAATAACAATAAGCTTCATGTGGGGATGGCACCTTGATATTCCATTGTAGTGACTGTAACCCAGGGTTGAGGTGTCATTTGGCGATTAGCTTATATATGCAAGTTTCTAACACTGGTGAGAGTATGTGGAGCCACCAAAACAGATGGACAGTACATGCAGTTTTGACAACCTGGATTCAGCCTCCAATGCCCTGAAACAGGATACTGACACTATCAGAGTTACCCATAATGTCTATTTGTCAAGCAAGCACCTTTGAAAGCTGTGTGTGGATTACTAGACTCACAACTTTTGCTACAGGGCATCAGCACTCTTTGCTCGATCAGATTGTCTGTAATTCTGACACCCGAGAAAGCTTGGCTTCTTAATAGGCTTTCCTCCGTCTCTTCGGTTCCAAGTAAATATGATAGGACAACTCACAAAGCATTCAAAGATCATGTTTCAGAGTGATCTCCAAAATCCCCAGGCAGGCTCCTGAGAAAGGGACTCCTCCTAAAGTCACATCCTGAGTAAACAATGCTGAATAGTTCAAGATTTTAAGGATTTTGTTTTATTTTATTGCAGACAGAGATGCTGTCTCAGTTTACAGCTTGTCTGAGTTTGAAATCATGTCCACTGCCAACATGACTTCTGTCTGAAATGAAACATTAAGCATGCATATATCCTGGTTTCGAACAAATGCCAGTTGGAGTTTGCTGGGAGCTAACAGGAAATGCTAATCTCAAGATAAAGTGCAGCTCTGTTTTAATGCAGAAGAATAAGTAGTGAACTGTGGTCCAATGAAATGTAAAGTAGGCAGTGGTTCTGGAGAAAGAGAGATACGGGGCCCTGTTTAGAAACTGTATCAATGTTGTCACAGAATCATAGGATTGTGGATCTGAAAGGTGTCATGAGGGTCATCTAGTCCAACCCTCTGCAATGCAGGAATCTTTCACCCAACGTGGGGCTTGAACCCACAACTCTGGGATTAAGAGTCTCATGCTCTATTGACTATCCTTTAAAACCAATTTAGATTGTTAACTGTGTGTAGTGGGACAAAACTGGTGTTTCATGCCTAACTGAAGCCAGAGAGATACATTGTGTTAGGGTCAGTTTTATAGTGTGTCAAAAAAACTGTTACTATCTAATTTTTGATGTTACAGTTATAATAGTTAGCTGGAGGACATAGATTTTTACAGTGGTACCTCTGGTAACGAACTTAATTTGTTCCGGAGGTCCGTTTTTAACCTGAAACAGTTCTTAACCTGAGGTACTACTTTAGTTAATGGGTTCTCCCACTGCCGCCACGCCATCACTGCGTGATTTCTGTTCTCATCCTGAGGTAAATTTCTTAACCCGAGTACTACTTCCAGGTTAGCGGACTCTGTAACCCGAAGTCTTTGGAACCCGAGGTGTTTGGAACCCAAGGTACCACTGTATATGCTTCAGTTTATTCACAAAGTGATGGGTCCTTCACTGGGCATTCCATTCAAACATAGTGAGTCATAATTATAGGCCAACCAAAATTCAGAATTTCACTGAGAGCCTGGTAATTGGTTGGAAAGTTAGGCTCAGCACTGCTTAAGAGCCTGAGAAGAAAACCTTTGAAAAATGAAAGAAGAGACTCTGAAGAGGCAAGGCAAAGAATGCTGTGTGGAAAGCAGCAGCAGCAGCACCAGCCAGGACTAAAGTGGCTGAAGTCCAGAGAGAGGCTAGGACCTGAGAAATCCCTTTGGCAGAAGGCAGCTGACGATGAAGGAGCCAACACCTTAAAGATGAAGTCACTAAAAGTAGAAACTAAGAAGGTCTTCAAGGGGAGAGGAAGACCATAGCAGCAGCCCTTGGGAAAAGTTGAAGGCAGTGTGTCAGCCGCAGCATTCAAAAGTTGCCAGGTATCAGGCAAATTTTATACCTGTCTATTGGCCACTTGCGACCAAGTCAAGAAGGCGTCTGGTGTCTCCACCATCTGGAGGTGAATGCCTGGAGATCCTTGGATCTTGACTGTTTTCACACACTAGCAATACATCCTGTAGAACTCTATCCTACAGAATAGAATTCTATTCTATTCTATTCATTTTATTCATTTTATCTGGACAATTAGAATGAATTTCAAGAACCAAAAGTCGGATTGGAAAGTATTTTTCAAGCCACCTGGCCCCAAAATGGCAACTAGGCATTCTGTTTTGGCAACTGTAACTCAAGGAGCCATTTGGCGCCTAGCCAAATCTGAGTTTCTAATACTGGCCAGCCGGTACTTTTCAGATGTGCTCAGGTATTTGCAACACTCAAAGTGTGGCAGGAGGCATGCACCCAAGTCCCCCCAATGCCTGCTCACACATTGCTTCCCCCTCAACTTCCCAGTGTTGTGTGGGGTTGGTTTGTGGCGGCTTCTATTCATGCCTGCTCAAGTGGTTGGAGACCTTGTTTGATAAGTGTCTCCAATCTCAGGGACAGTTCCACCACATTCAAGATAGCATGAATAGGTGCCCCTGCAGAACCACTGCATTCAGTATGGGGATGGTTTGGCATTGATCATGCACACCCCTGCCCTTGGCCATGGATACAGAGATCATGCATTCAGGGAAATGCCTTAGCATGCCTATCATTTATCATGCATATGTGACAGGAATACCTGCAGTCAATAATAAAAGGTAGGATAAATAAATGATAACAGGCCTTCCCTTTCAGGTTCTCGAAGGTGTGGGGAAACAGGGTAGTGACATTTGCTGAGGGCTACTAACTTGTATAGACTTTTATGGTTATGACCTATGCTGGTATCCAGTTTGAGAAATATGCTCATGTAGAAAATTCTCACATATAAAGCAGCTCCTTCACAAGGAACAACAGATTGAAAATATCCAACAATACTGCTCCCACTTAGGCTAATAAATACAATCTGATACAGCAAACAATTCCCAGCTTCCTAGTCACAGAGCATTATCCTCATTTGGATTAATGACATTTAAAATTCCCATAATTTTTCAAAGCAAAACATGCAGTTGCATATTTTAAAAGCCAGACAGTCAATATAAAAGAACGTAAGCATTTTCTTGAGCAATTTAAGCTTATTCCTCAATTCCATTCCAACTCCTCAAGCCACTTTGATGGCGTAATCTGCTCTAGACTC